TGCTTTCTTGTTACTAAACAGTGCTCAAGTCGGGAAAGAAGACATGATTGGCGAGAGGAGATGGGTGTCGTGACCCAATTACTTTTCCAGACATTAGAATACTGTGACCCAATGGTTAGGCGCCAATGCTGTATTCTTTGGCCACTGACACTTAAACTTTAGTTCTAAGTATTGGCTGATATACTCTTGCTTCCATAGATATAAATGTTGGATCATATATATTAAGAAGAAAAAGTAGATGCGACAAATGTAATATATACAACAATTCAAACATGAGCACAAAACCCGATTTAGGTGGGACACTGGAGATTGTGCCAAATGTGCTCAATGTGTTCCGACATTCATGGCTTCTTAAAAATATAAATATATAATATTCAAAAAATTTTTTTTAATCTAAAAATTGAAAACGATTTTCCAAAAAATTTCATCATCCCCTCCACATTAGTAAAATTTCCGTTCAAATTTTCATTACCATGAATTTTTTACTTGCGAAATTTGATCAATGCTCTTTTTGCAGGCCTTTTATATGCTTTCGAGCTCGTATAAGTTCAAATTTGTTTTCTTTTTTAATATACCCTATCCTCTATGTAAAAAGTTTTTTAATGTATGAATGTTTTTGTATTCTTAAAAATTTTTGAAGATCCTAAAGGCAATTTCCAAAAAAATTATAAAATTGACACTTGCAGTCTCATTTTTTTGGAGTCTTCCATGGGGGAAAAAATTTTTAAAAACCCCCTTCATCATTTCCCAATGGGGATTTTCTGTTTTAAAGTTCTTTTGAACCGGTTTGTAGCTTAAATATTTTAGTGTCGCGTTTGTGTAGATGAGCTACGCAATTTTGGGGTCAGTTGTTTTCAAGCAAATATTAAGAAATTTTTCAAACCAATATTTTGTTATTGTGTTTTTAACTTATATCAGAGACGATGGTTAAATGTTGAGTACGTTTAGATAATCATTAGTGACGCAGGGGTCAAGTCACCAAATAACGGTGTAAAACAATTCTAATATTGTATTTTTCATCTTTTAACGATATTAAATTCGTAACGCGTAGGTAAGACTGTCAGTTTAAAAATTTCTAGTTGAATATCAAGGCCAGGTTCGATTCGGAAAGTTAATTGTTTTTTACTGTGTTGTGTTATTTTTTATTTACTTCTATTGCACTTTTTCTTTTGTTTTCAATCTAGGCCTATCTTAGCAAGTTAGTGATACCTTATACTGCATACAAGTACACATATTGTTTCAACTTTAGTTCAGGTTGGCACAAATTAAATACTCGTGCATGCAAAGTCTACATGACTACTACATACTACCAAAAAACATAGGTAGAAATATTATTCTGGGTATATTAGAATTATTTAGAAAATATGAACTAAACTACTTGAAATTTCAAATATATTTGTATATTCATAAAACTGGGAAAAATAGGGAAAGAAAAAAATGTTAGACAACTTTTCTGAGTTCGAAACTCATGATACATTTTAAGGTGTATCACATGCCAACAACGTTAAACCAAATTTTGCCTGCTTGTAATTATATTTCCTTTTTTTAAAATAATTTTTATCTAATCAGACAAAAGATTGTAAAATGTTGTAATACAAACATTGCAACCTCACTCTCAAATTTATACAATGTTTTTAGTATGGGTTATCCACAGGGAAATTGTCTTTATTTTATTAATCTCTCTCTCTTCTATCTCTTATATATAATATATTATTATATATATATATATATATAACTTTGTCATCTGATACCGTGTACCGTACAATTCGTTTTGTTAATCAGTAAAAGACGATATACAATCACAAAAATATTATATCATTCACAATTTATTTCCTATGAATACAAAATCTGACGCTCTAATGCAATTTGATGATTAAACATTAAATGTAAAGAATTCTCTTTTTTAGAAAAAAAATTAGCACAATGTTCATGTTTGATACACCTATTGGTATATTTCACCTTGTCAGCTAATGGAAATCTTGTGAGAACTTACAAATCATTGTTTTAATAATTGTTCTTAACGAATACGCCATACCGCCATTTTCTGTATAGAAAGTTATTTGACATAGTGTTTTCATTGAGGGAACAGTTCTGTTTATTGGGGCGGGACAGTTGATGCCGGAAAGGCGCAGGCGTCAAAATTAACCCTTGTCGGGCGTCTTAATGTATACGATTAGACACAATGTTATTCAAACCAAGCAAAATATACCGAAGAACATAAAACATGAAACATACTGAACTTTTATTCAGAGCATACAATATAAGGCAGACGCATTGCAACATACAAATGCTAAATTGATTGATCCCTGCTCAGTCAAAAAGCACATCATCTCACACATTCTATGATTTATGATGAAAAACAAATAAGTAAACGTTTATCTATCTAAAATCAACTTAAGCATTGATGTTTGTTTTTTTTTAGATTATACAAATGTTACAAACGACATAATGAAAAAATAATGCAAATAATATTTGATCTTACACTATGATAACATAAAAATATCAGCGTAATAAATTAGGGATCATCAAACTTGTGTTCGGGTTATCTCCCTTGAATTCAACAGTCTTGCTTTTTAAGGGCCGACATTTTCAAAACTAAGGTTAGCATAGCTTCATTTTTATGCTTTTTATTTACCTGAAATCCTTTTGTGTGAGCGTGCAAAATTACAAGACTTGTCATTTATCTTTTTTTTATGTAAACGTACCCAAGTTTTTCTTTTAAAGATGATCATATATTTGAATACGTGTTCCGGGCAATTTTACTGCATTAATTAATAAAAAGAACAGCAAAATGATATAAATAAAATTTTGCATTGTAATAAGGATAAAAACGAAAACATAAAATAATAATGCATTTTGTTACTTTGTAAGTTTGTTAGACTTTTGAACAAGTAATCACTTCTAGAATCGAGTGAAATAACAAACCAAAGATCAAATTTAAGGACAGGTAACTTAAAATACAGCTGGTAACACCAAGTTTCATATTAAGTTTCAAGTACTAGTATGTAAGATTATGCAGTTTAATTAATTTCAATCAAGTAATAATAAATATGTGTATATGGCAGTGTATATGTACATAGTATATCAAGATCTATATATTGCATATACATTGTAAATGTTCTAAGCTGCAATGGACACATATACTTAGTTTGTATCAGATACAAAAAGAAAACATAAAACAATTACATAAGTACAGCAAGGACAACATATATTATTATAAAGTGTTTGAAATTATTTTTTGCCCAATAGGATTGCAGTATTTCAAATGAAATGTGACACATTTACTTTGGTATATCGGCAACTCTGAATCGGTCTAGTAAATTGACTGTTTATAAAAACAAGAGCTGTCACAGGAGAAAGCGAAGCTTGACTAATAAAATACTGGATGTAGTATGGAAGACAAGAATATTAAAGAATAATCAATTATGTATAATTATGTATTAAGTTTTAGTACAAAGAATAATATTGTTAACATAAATTCCAAGATCAAGGGGAATGATTCTGGAAAAAGTCATGCTAGAGTTATGAACCTCGTCACACAACATGTGTGTAATGATTAGAAATATATATTTGAAGTTTAAAGTAGATACCTTAAAAAGTAAAGAAGTTATAATATTTCTAAAAGAAAATCCTCAAGTTCAAAGAAAGATAAATCTGTAAATATTGCTTCAAAATGTTATGAACCTTGTCACATAAAATGTAATTGGATGATAAGAATTAAGTATTTTGAAGTTTGAGGTAGATACCTTTAAAACAAAAAAAGTTATGGTAAAAAAAACATTTTCACGTAAAAAAATCTAAGTTTATGGGGAGATAATTTCTCCAATATTGGTGCTAGAGTTATATCATGTCACATAACATGTGGTAAATGATAAGGTACATATATTTGAAGTATAAAGTTGGTCCTTAAAAGAATAAATATCTGTAAAAAATATATTTTTTTAAGGAAAATTCCAATTTCAAGTGGAGATATAATCTGAACATCTATTTGTGCGTAGATTAGATGAACCTTGTCACATAAGATGTGGTGATGATAAGTACATATATTGAAGTATGAATTGATCCTTTAAGAAATAAAGAGTAGTAGACTAAAAAGATTAGTGTTTTTAAAGGAAAATTATAAGTTCAAGGGGTAATAAATCTGAACATATTGGTGCTAGAGTTATGAACTTTGTCACATAAGATGTGGTTGACGATAAGGAACATATATTTGAAGTTTGAAGTTGATACCTTAAGAAATGACAAAGTTATAATGAAAAATATTTTACTGCACCAAAACTTGAATCTGAAATCTGGACGCGGACGCCGGGGCAAGTAGGACAGCTCTCCATATACTATGTATAGTCGAGCTAAAAATTAAAAAACTAACTAGGTTAAGGTTCATTAGTAAGTATGTACAAAATTAAATTGGTCAGGCACCTAGGCCCCTTACTTAAATGTATAAAATTGAATCTGCATTTAATAAATATCATATGTAAAAAAATATTTTAACGTCGGCCTAAAAACCAAGCATTCTATACTTTCAATAGTATATGTAAATCTCATCAAAAACTGTTTATAAATTACGATTTTAAACATAAAAAACACGCTAAAGTTTGTATACGAATTTTAACTATAAACAGCTTGTGTATGCTCTACGTCAAAGTGTTATAGTTGCTATTCGGAACACAGCAAATATGATATTTTCTTGTGCAAACACACTTTAACCATTTTACTATCAAGGTACATTAGGCCTGGCTTTCAGAAAAAGGTAATCGTCTTGTAAAAAAGATTAAATTTGTATGAAAACATCTGTTACAATGCGGTAATATACCTTTAAATTATGACTGCTAGTTATAGCCATGTTTGTTGATTTAATATTGATGTACGGATGATCCGAAGATGGAATTTCTTATGTTTACAGTAATTGTAGTTCTGATTTCGCCACAATGAGGTTGCATATTTTTATGCTCATAAAACTCAATTCGGTTGTCTGGAAAGATCTGGAGTCAAATTGAAACCTAATTTATTAATGAAATGTCGCTATTTTTGTGTTGATGACATTTATTAAATACAGCTTTAATGTAAGGAGTAATATTCTCCTTTACTGCCATGAGGTCTGCTCAAATATATTGATACACAAGGCTGGATTTGTTTGCTTCATTTTCTCACGTACAGACATCATATTTACTCCTTGTTCTATACAGTTCTCCTGTAGCCAGTTCATTTTATACATTTCCATCGAGGGATCATAATACCAGTCCGGGTAGCCATGCAACAAAACTGTTGTTACAATAATTTTTTCATCAATAAGAACTACCCCTGGTGACCCACTTCCACCTTGGGTAAACTTACAATGAAATAAAAACCGATCTGGATTTTCCAATGTGTTATGTGGCGGAACATCAAAGCTTCTACCTGTATGCTTATAGCTTAATGTTTTCAATTGTTCTAGCTGATATGTTACTTCTGGATTGTTAATGTTAACAATTTTTGTCACTGGATTTGTTCCCATAACATTTCCTTGAGAATGACCTATCAAATGGAAACATCCGTCCAGGAAAGGCACATCAAAGTTTGTGAAAGGAGGTGGAAATGGGCGATGGATTTCTAGAAGTTCTATAACAGAAATGTCCAATTCTGGATTTGTATATACTACTTCTTTGAAATAGAATTTGTTTTCCTCTTCCCAAATACCATCTTTTAAGTAGTTGAAAACTGCATAAGTTGCTGCTTCAAACTTCAGTCCTAAAAGTACACCAAATATTCACATGTAAAAATATACATGAAGATTCCAACCTGCTACTAAGATTAGTTATTAGGTCATTCACAAACATTTTGGACTACCTATTTTGACAAAGACTCGTATTTGTGAATTTTGCATAGCTTTAATGGACATTATTTAAGATCATATGTGAAAATTGCTTATAAATTACCTGCTGTTCACCTTTTAAGTTATGTTGTATTTAAACTTGGACAATATCTCATTTTAACCTTAGAACTACATTGTGACAACAATGTCAATTTTCCATGATTATGCTACAAAAATCAAAGAACTGGAGGCCCTGACATTGTTATTCATCAATAGATGAGTAATACTACATGACATTGCATGACATTAATCAAACTAGAAACGTGTCGTCACGCCACGGATGCTCCCGCATGCAACCAAAATTTCAGATGTTATAATATTAAGTTCCAAATTTGTTTGCACAAATTATTTTTTTTTTTTCATTTAAAGTTCAAAGCCCTTAAAACTATTCAATGTTAACACAAATCATTTTTATACAAAATTCATGGCACTTAAACTATTTAGTGTTAACCTTTTGTAAATTGCATATTGCATATTAGTAGCCAAAATAATGGCTACATACATTTCCACAAAAGTATGAGTGCTTAAACTGAAAATTCAAATTTTTCCAACATTCAAGAAAGATAACTTTGTCCAAAATCATTGAACCACGACCAAATTAAAACTTGAACTGAATATTCCTAAGATGTATCTATATGTTAAAATTGAGTTGAATGTGTATAACCATTGGGGAGATAATAAACGGAAACTTAAAATTTCTGATTTTTTTTTTCAAAGTTAAAGAGGGATAACTCTGTCAGCTATTATCAAACCATAACAAAATTGGAAATTGACCAACGCATTCTTATGACATTTCCATATCTTTAATTTGAGTTGAATATGTACAACTGTTGGGGAGATAATGAATGGGAACTGAAAATTTCATATTATTTTCAAAGTAAAAGGGGCATAACTCTGCCAAAACTCATCGAACCATGACCAAATTTAAACTTGACCTGTAAATATCATGACATATCCATATGCCAAATTTGTGTTGAATGTGTGCAACCGTTACTAAGATAATAAACTGAAACTGATGATGACAGAATGACAGGACGGCATGACGGAACAGGGTAATACTATTTGCCCCTGCCATTATATGGCGGGGCATAATAAGTGACATCACATATATTATTTGACAGCTAATTTTCAGATAAAACCTACCTTGCTGAAATGTATTTGTTACATGAGAAGCTGTCATGATATATCTAGATCCAACACGGAACCCTGTGGCGGTATTATTACCCTGGATTATTTTACATACAGACTTTGAAGCCTTCAACTTGGTTTTTATATCTAGTACAGTTTCGATTTGTCCATGTACGTCTATCAATCGTCCAAATGATTTTTTGCTGTGCAAGTCACTGTTCATGTCTACCTTTTCATAGCTTATATCACCTGAAAAGAAAACAATTACAAATAAATATTATTTGAAGGAAACCCATTGAGGTCCAAAAGCTCAAAAACATTAAATTTAATTCTTACATTTTTCATCTGGGCACAAACAACATGTAGATTTGCAAAAACAAAAAGAGGGCCTTCATGGCCCTGAAATTGCTCATCTGTTTATAGGACCCTGGGCAATGGCCAATTTTAAAATAGGGGCTTTTATTTGAACAAACATGGTAGAAATAGAAATGTTTCACGCTTAATATCTAAGCTCTAGCTATTTGTTTTTTTAAAAAGAAGATATTTTTAAGTTTTTTCTTTCGGTTGCCATGGCAGTTCTGATTGGAATTGAATTTTTTTAAAAATCTTTAAAGTTGACTACCAAAAGAACATTCCTGTGAAGTTTTGATGAAATTGGCTTAGAGGTGAATGAGGAGTTGTCGTTTAAAGTAAAAGTTTACGGATGGATACCGGACGAAAAGCGATCACAAAAGCTCACCAAGACATTTTGTGACAGGTAAGCTAACAAGAGGGCCATGACGGCCCTGAAATCGCTCACCTGTATATACCTGGGGCGGGGCTAATTTCAACCCGAGGGCTTTTTAACTTACTTGGTAGACATCCATTAGAAGATGTTTCATGATAAATATCTAAGCTCTAGCTCTTTGTGGGTTTTAAAAGAAGATTTTTTAAAGTTTTTCCTCAAGACATATAAGGAAAATCAGACCCCTGACTCAAGCACTCCGTGAACAAATAACAACATAATGAAACTGTTTTATTAAGTCAAGGGAAATGACTACAAATGCTGGATAAATCCACAAGCGAAACCCCAGGTGCACAACTACATATGCTGAGCAACCTTCAAGTAAGGTTTAATGACTCTATGTCAAATCTTTTTTGAGATACATGCGACACAAGTTGAAAATTGCAAAAAAAATCTAAGTCAAGGGCAATTACTCTAAAAATACTAAATAAATTCAGACAAAAACACCCAGGTGCACAACTACACTTGCTGATCAACATTCCTGTAAAGTTTCATGACTCCAGGTCAAAGTTACATGAGACACAAATTGAAAATTGCAGAAGGGCAATAACTCTAAAAGTACTAAACTGTTAAGCATCTTTGAACCTTGTTATGTATCTGATATCTTATGTTCTGAAATAGTATGATTCAATTCGGTAAAATTAAGATTTTTGGTGTTGGTTTTACACAATTATTTGCTTAACACGTTATAAAACGGAAAGAAACACAGTTGAAAAAGTAATGCAGCTTTTATATTTAGTTATTCAACAATTCAAAGGATAAACCTGAAAAAAGAGAGCAGTGAATGCAACAAAATAATATGAAAACTGCAGACTTTGTTTGATTGAGTCTGCTGATATAAAATAATGATAATGTGAAACATCTCCTGATAACAAAAATTTAAAGAGCGCCGAATTGATTGAGTCTGATTCTAAGAGAATTTTTTGTACAAAAAAAACAAAAAAAACAAAAAAAAAAAAACAACATTGCTTTCCAGTTTAAATATACTATGTATTTTTTTTTTATAATTAAGATTGTTTTAAAGTTAATATAATCTTTAACAGTATCTAAATACATTTTTATTCCATGTAAATGCAGTCCACTTCGTTTATGCGACAATCGTTTTTAGGTGTTTTATGTAAACATCAATGAAACTTTTGTCATTGTTGATCAGGTTATTAATGTAAATAAGTGTCATTCAAGAAGTATATGGGCCTCTTTGGCCTTATGTTCCGCGAATGCGCGGCGGCCTTTATATTTAGAATGAGATTGCTTTTATATAAGCAACTGTTTCAGAATAATCGTTACAGTTTTACTGTAGATATTTTTTATTTAAAAAACCGAGTTTCATGTCTTCCTACAGCGATACACCGAATCTGGTAAGATATACTTCGTTTGTATTTGTTGAATGTTTGAAGTGATTTTGTTGTATTAGTTGAGCTTTTTTTTTATGATATATGTTAAGTATTTGGTGCTTTAGTTTGCTTTCGATGCTGTTATATATTTGAAGTTAATATTATTGTTGAATGTTTGTGTTTTATACTGTATCTTAGAGTTGTAAAAATTATTCCTTTTTGTTCCTCATTTTGTGGTGATTTACTGTTTTGTTGATCATAAGTTATTAGAGCTTGGCTCGCCAGGTCTAGTATTGTTTTTGTATAAAAGACGTTTTACTGAAGAGATATTAAGTAATAAGTTGGTTGATAAATGATGTTTGTTGTTTTGGTTGTAAATAATAATCAGAGTTCTTGTTTTGGGTGTAAATAATAATCAGAGTTTGTTATTTAAATATATATATATTGATTTGAGACAGAAAAAAATAAAAATACCTAAAAAATAGTGTTAACTAAATAACTACATGCTAGTTCGCCAACTGAGAATATTTCAATCTTAAGTCAGGCGGTGCTGCCCAGCCCTAATATCTTGGAAATTGATTCTCGCATTTATTGCTAAATCTTCCCTTAGATTAAATTACATCAAGGCAGTCATTCTCCTGACGGCAACCAACTCACAATAGGGACAATTAATCGGATCCGAGAATATTCCGTAAATGAGAATAGACGTTGTGTATATAAGAGCCCACAAACTTTAATATTTAAACATGGCGAGGGTCAGATGCAACATTATTCTTGGAAAATGAAATATTTGGCAAGATTTAATGAACAGCAAATTTAGATCCACATTGGGAAAAGGGCAAACAACAAACCGAAATGAAGGATTAAGTTATTTTTTAAGCGTTGAAATAATTTGTTTAATGAGATTGAGTAATTTCACAGGCTTTGCAAGACAAGTAACATACAAAGGTAACGTTATTTAGAGCACCAAAATGGGCTTGTTTGAAAATTTTTTTACATGGAAATCTAGAAAAAATTTACCCTACCAAAAGGGTTTTTATGTTTAAGCCGGGGAAGATTTTCCGTTTTTTGATTATCACTTTTGGAGGGTTTCCCCCCGAATTAGACGCCGGCACTCTTTTTTAAAAAGAACGTTCAGATGTTATCCAAGTTGTTAAAAAAGGGCAAATTGGGATGGCAGCCTTGTATAAGTAAATATCCTATCAAAATAATGAAATGTACCTATATAAACAAACAAACCGACGAGACCAAAAATGCACAGGACTATTGACAAACGAATAAACAGGGAAAAAGCAAAGATCAGAAAAGAAATAAGTAACAGGATGTCGGTCTGATTTTGTTTAAAAGATTATTGAGCTCGGCGGATTGATACGATTAAAAAAAACAAGTTTAAATACAGATTCATGTTTAACAAACATTAAATCCAAAAGTTGAATAAAGTCATTAAATAGAAAAAGCTTTCCAATCAGTCAAACGAAAAACTTAAATGAAAAGTTAATAGCCTTAAAGATAAGCTGTGAGCTTCAAATAAAAAATTATAAAAAAAAGCAATCCATAATGACAGGGAATCACGGGGGTGTCGTTCAACAACTGCACCTGATACGCGAAAACAAAATTATGGAAGCAAAATCTCGGTTAAGAAGTACCAGTGCAATCACTTTGAGTAAAGAAAGCAATAAGTCACCTAAAAAATGTAACAAAAAAGAGTATGTAAAGCCGGGCCCGATCATTTAATAACGACGTGCAATTGGGCATTCATCCAGACCAAAGTGTTGAAAGTTCTAGTTGTAAATCTAAATCCTACTCGTATAACATGAAAATTTATTCTGATAATAGTGATAACATCAACAATTTAACAGTTAAGAAAGATATTTCCGCGATTCGCGTAAACATAGATGTCAAGATACTTATAAGTATCAACAGCATGAAAGAGCCGTTTCGATTGATTCACACGACTACAGGAGGCAACAAAGAGAGGGAAGATCCAATGGCAGCTTTGATAATGTAAGATCCCGTGACACTCCGTAACACCGAGATAGATATGATAATGTAAGATCTTGTGACATTCGACAACACAGTGATGCTGCTGTAGATAACAGTTAGCATACCTTTAAACGAGACAGTAGGAAGCACTAGGTCGGTGCAGGCTTTTGGAATGTTAGAAGTTTTTTAAATGACTCATAATGATATAATTATGTACTGCATACTTCATGTATGGAAAATCTGAGTCTTGACATAATTTCTATAGCAGAAACTCATCTAGTCAATAATCAATTTTTAACTTCGAAAATTATACCTGGTTTGGTTAAAACCGCTCCTTTTTACATAAGAATGCAAACAAAGGTTCTGGCGAGATTAGTGTATTAATTAAAAATAGTATTTAATGATTTTAACCTTATTTAAAGACAGTTCGAGGATTTTTTAACATTAAACATAAATTTTCTAGTTAAAAAAAATCAAACCATTACTTAAAAAAACCAAATTCCAAAAAAAAATAACAAATTTTTTATAAAATTAAAAAAAAAAAATTTAAATTTCAAAAACATCAAATAAAATTTTAAAGACAAAAATTTTAATTTTTTTCAACTTTTAATATTATAACCAAAAACATTTTAACAAGTTAAAAAAAAAATTTATATTCATTTTTAATATTATTTCATTAAATTTGCAAATTTTTTAAAAACACATGTATTTTCAAAAAATTTTTCCTTTTGGATTTTTTTTTTCCCTAAAAGGATAGGGGGGGGGGGGTTTTTAAGGGGAAAAAGGGGCCAAAGAAAAAGGGAAGTTCTCAAGTTTTTCAACCCACCGACAATTTACCCCAAATATTTTTGAAGAGGGGAAAAAGAAGAAAAAAAACACACACATTTTCAACAAAAAAAAAGAACGGGGGCAATTTTGGGGGGGAAAAAAAAACAAAAAAAAGTTTTTTTTTAAAAAAATAAAAAAAGATTTCCTTAAAAAGTATAGAAAAAAAGGGAAGAACAAAAAAAAAAATTATCAATAGAAAAATTTTTCTTTTTAAGTTGCAATAAAAAAAAGAGGAAAATGGGAAAATAATGTTTGGGACATGAGAAAAAACGCTTAAGGAAAAAATGTTAGGAAAAACTTTTTAAAAATTTGAGGT